GTCTTCATCAGATTTACTTCTAGAGAAAACATAAAAATAAGCAAAAATGGGGACAGGCGCAATGGCTCACGCCTTTAATCCCAGCACTTTGGGAGGCCAAGGCAGGTGGATCACAAGGTCAGGAGTTTGAGACCAGCCTGGCCAACATAGTGAAACCCCATCTCTACTAAAAATAGAAAAATTAGCTGGGCATGGCGTGTAATCCCAGCTACTTAGGAGGCTGAGGCAGAAGAATTGCTTGAACCCAGGAGGTAGAGGTTGCAGTCAGTCAAGATCGTGTCACTGCACTCCAGGTTGGGCAACAGAGTGAGACTTTGAATTTTTAAAAAAAAAAAAAGCAAAAATGAAATAAATGGTGAACTATATGGAGACATTTAGAGAATTTAAGAATATTTTTATCTGAACTGTGATTCATTTAAATGCCTGGTTTGTTTAGAAAATTGTGCTTATAAATCTACTGGAAAGTAGTCTAATTTTTCAAATCCTAAAATCTCTCTTCTGCATATTACACGATATTTGACATTTATTCCTACATTGTAGTGCTTATTAAGGTTGCAATGTGTAATATGTGTTAATTAGTTTCTTCCTATTCATATAAATTTCAGAAAACTAAAATGAAGAACAATGTCGATCTAAATATGTTAGACATAGAGGAAGTATACTTGTGTATATTTTGATTCAGAAAATTAAGTTGTGGTTTTGATTACTTTCTTCCTGGTATACTTGGACATCTCTATTGCAAACATTTATATGACTTTACAAAGGCATAAAGCTTAGAATTTTTTGATTTGCTCATACCAAAATTTCCTTACCTTGGCACTACTGGTATTTTGGGCCAGATTATTCTTTGCTATGGGGGCTGTTCTGTGCACTGTAGAATGTTTGGCAGCATCCTTGGCCTCCACCCAATAGATGCCTTCAGTTAACATCCTCCCCCAGCTGTGACAACCAAAAATGCCTCCAGGCACTGCCAAATGTCCCCTGCCAAATGTCTCAACTGTTAACCCTACTTGAGAACCACTCACAGGTCTTCACTGAGTAAACATATTGTTCTACAGTATCAAAGAAAGTTCCAAACAAGAAAAAAAGGATTTAAATGAACCTCTTCAACCCAGAGGCTATAGGTTCCCTGAAGGTTTCCTTCCTTTCCTAATCTGTTCACTCCTCCAGGCCTGGGCATTAACAGGCACTCAAGCGTTTGCTGAAAGGAGAATTAATCACCATTGGGAACCAGTCAGAAAAGAGTGTATGAGAAATTTAAGATTAAAAAAAAAAACAAATCTTAAGTAATGGCCATTGATCCAGATTTTGAAATAATTTGTCTGGCTATATAATGGAACGCAGCAAATAATTCTGATTAGAGTTGAGTGCCTATGGTAAGCATAAGGGGGTACAAGAGGAGTAAACACAGAGTCCCTGGCCTCAAGGAGACTACGGGTGGCTGGGGAAGGTAAATATGCAGCTATGCAGGTGGTTGCAATACAACAGACTACAGAAGGTCCACTGCAAACACACTATGCTGTGTGTGTATTCCCGGTCCACTTTTTCAAATATCAAGAGATTCCATGAAGAAGGCTGGCATTTGACATGGGCTTTGAAGTATAAGTAAAATTTTGATGAGCAAAAGTAGGACACAGTACAGTAGTTAAACAAGAGGGAATGACATACGCAGAAGCTGGATATTTCTTGGGGACATAGTGAGCAGTTGGGTTGGGAACATTTAAAAAAGTACAGTAGAGGGATTGTGAAACATGAAGTAAGGTCAAATGAGTTCAGGTCGCAGGAGGGTCTACAAGTCTGAACAAGGAATTTGGACTTAATGGTTTTGCTCAAGTCCCAACAGGAGAGTGACCTCCCTGAAGATGTGGCCGTCTACCCTGCCAAAGCTGTGCTAGATTAGTTCCACTGGGGAGCGGGGGTAGGTGCAGAGGCCATTCTGACTGCTACCTACAGGAATACAAAAGTGCAACAACAAGGAATTGACCTATAGTATATGCCTTGCATTCGATATTTCATTCTATTTTATTCTCTGTCATTTTTAAATAATGGCAAACATCCAATAATTCGGTTTCACAACCCACTAAAGGGTTTGCAAAGCATTTCTTAGAGCTTTTGGGTAAATATGGTGAATTCAAATGTTGGGGGTACCGGAAAAAAGGAAGAGTATAACAGTTAAGTAAGAGACTGCTGAGCCAGAATTGGCCTGGTGTGTCATTATTCTAGGGACTGGGAGGATGGGATGCTGGAATAGCAAGCATGACTCTATGGTGGTAGAAGGTGTAACTCTGAAGTGTGTGATCATGAAGCTCAAGCTCGTTATACTAAAAAGGAAGCCAACAGAATGGGAAAAGAGAAATGGCAGAAGGCAAGCAGGGACAGACGGTGGGAGTGGCAAGGGGCGACGGGGACACAGCGTTCAGAAGTGTTAAAGGTGGGGTCACTTTTCTCACTAATTATATAGTCCAAGCTCTGGAGTATCTAAAGTGCAATTAGAAATTCACTCCAGTTGCAGAATCAGGATGCCAGATTAGAGATGTGAATAGTCAGTGTCTGTGTTGATGGGACACAGTATAAACAATATATAAGTATGTAAAACCAGGTGCTGAAGTCTTTGAGGACAGCGAGGCTGTGCCTTGGAAATGGTGAGATGTTGAATAAACTTGTGGTTAGCACTCACCTCAAAAGATGTAACACTGAGAAGTACATAATAAAGAATATACCATGGAAGTGGCCAAGAGGATTGTGGCATTTAAGGAAACATCATATTGCAGTAACCCCAGGAAATGGAAGCATTTTGATCACTGAAAAAGGTTCAAGGAGGCAGACAGGAAGAGACAGAGCGGTTTTTGATAGGTTTAATTTTAAAGTTAAAAAAAAAAGAAGGAAGAGATTTAGATGACCATGATAATTGTTGATAAAGATCAGTGCTCAAATAAATTGTTGGCACAAGAGCTGAAGCTAACTTAGAACCAAGTTCTCCTTCACTTGGCATTTTTAAAATGGAATAATTTTAAATAAAATCTGGGTTTCTGGCTTTCTTGCAAAGTCTGAAGGTCTGGCAATGTTGACTCTACGGCCCTACGTGGCTTTTAAAATGTGCATACCTTTGGCTCTACTGTATGTATATACCATGTGTACACCATCTGTCGGGGTTGGATAAATTATGGAATACTATTTAGGGACTGAAAAGATTTAGAGCTCTAAGTATAGACATGGAAAGACTTCTTACAAATAAAAAAGCAAACTGCTGAATAACGTATAGCGTGATCACATTAATGTGAAAAAATAGAACTATATTATAATAATATGTATTATATAACTTATGACATAAAATATATGGCCTACACAGTCACTGTGGAAAACGTATGGCAATTCCTTAAAAAGAAAAACAGAGAATTACCATATGACCCAGCAATTCTACTTCTGAGCATATACCCAAAAGAACCGAAAGCAGGAACTCGAACAGCTCTCTGTATACCATGCTCATAAAAGCATTATTCAGTCTCCACAATAGTGAAAAAGTGGAAGCAACCCAAGTATCCACCAGTGGATGAATGGATAAACAAAATGTGGTACACATACACAGTGGAGTATTATTCAGCCTTAAAAGTTAAGGAAATTCTGACACAATCTACAACATGAATGAATCTTGAAGACACTATGCTATGTGAATTAAACTAGTGACAAAAGTAGTACAATAAGAGAAATATATACAATGACTAGTTTGAGGTACAATATGGTCAGTTTTTAATCTTAAAAATCTTCCAGTCAATTAAAGGTCCTTAAGAATAAGATATACTGTCAGCGTTCAGGATCTACTGATGGACATTTTTCTTCTGAATAGAAACTTTTCTTCTGAGTAGAAGCTTGGCTATTCCTATCCTAACTAGAAAACATAGTAGAAGCGGTTAGCTATCATAATTGACCTGAGGGTGAATTGTAGGTAGGCACACCCACAAAGTATTCTTACACAAAGAAGCTGAACTTTGACTTTAGCACTCCACTTCCGTCTTGAGGTTACTAATGACTTGTCCCCAGATGTCACTTAATCACTAGATCCTGTTTTTTCGCATGTAAAATGTGGTAACAAAGCACTCTGAGGATTAAATGAGATGGCATATGTGAGAAAGGACCTAGCAAGGACCTGGTCTGATACCATTCTCTCCCCCATCAAGTATACATGAAGAGAAATCATCTCTAAATACAAACATGTAATTATGCTAACCACGAAAATTCTAAACCATAGTCTAACCTCACATTCTTCCACTGACTTAAAGCATGAACGCCATTTTATGTAAGAGCATTATTTAACAAAACTCCAATGGAAGCAAATTCAGAAGATCTGAAGGACTTCATTATAAACCCTTACACTGATACCACAAGTCATATAGCAGAAACATTTATGAAAGCTCCAGTGACCAAGATTTTAAAATAAACATAAGTCATTTACTGAAGTTTCAAAGGTTATAATGACCCAAAGCACACAAGAGGAAACTGTCCAAGTAACTAGCTAAAACCAAGTTCAAATTAGGCTATTTCAGGACCTATCCAAAACTAGTCAATACACAGGCCAACGTATTATTATTATTTTCATTGTTCTGGCTCACCTTCCACGTAGACCAACTTCTAATGGTTAAAGAAATACAATTACTACTACTGAACAAAAAATACAATTATTACTCTGTAAACGAAATAAACTCTAAGTCAAAAAAGATTTCTCCTGGCCGGGCGCAGTGGCTCACACCTGTAATCCCAGCACTTTGGGAGGCCGAGGCGGGTGGATCACGAGGTCAGGAGCTCAAGACCAGCCTGGCCAAGATGGTGAAACCCCGTCTCTATCAAAAACACAAAAATTAGCCGGGCATGATGGCAGGCACGCCTGTAATCCCCGTTACTAGGTAGGCTGAGTCAGGAGAATCGCTTGAACCCAGGAGGTGGAGGTTGCAGTGAGCCAAGATCACGCCACTGCACTCCAGCCTGGGCAACACAGTGAGACTCCATCTCAAAAAAAAAAAAAAAAGATTTCTCTAAGCAAGGGTAACAAGAAATTATGCCCCTCCGCCAATTTACGAAACACGAGAAAGCACCAGTAAGATGCTTAAAGTTTTCATAAATGTCTCATTTACCCAATATTATATATACTGAAGTGTTCATGTCAATTCCTTTGCCAGTGGTTTTTACTTAATTTTTTAAAAATTACCATACGATAAAATTAACACGTTTACTTTGGATGAATCATTTTGATTTTAATGTATGGTAGCATCACCACCATCAGAATACAGAACAGTTCCATCACTCCACAAAGCTCTCTCCTGCTGTCCCCTTAATGTGTACATCCTTCCTCTCCTCCACTCTCAGCACCACTGAATTGGTCCCCATCACTATAGTTTTATAATCATCCCTTTTGAACCTGGCTTCTTTCACTCAGTATAAAACCTTAATTAAAGATTCATGCAAGTTGTTACCTACACCTTCCTTACTATTGCTAAGCAGCATTCTATAGTATGGCTATACAGTAGTTTAACCATTCACTTATTAAAAGATATTTTGTTTCCACATTTTGGCTATTATGATTTAAGCTGCTATGGACATTTGAGTACGAGTTTCTGCGCAAACAAAAGTCTTCATTAGGAAAATACCCAGGAGTGGAATTGCTGGATGGTATGATAAATGTATGCTTAACTTTATAAGAAACTGTCACTGTTTTCTGGGGTGGCGGTGCCATTCTGCATTCCCACAAGCAATGTGTAAGGATCCAGTTGCTCAGCATTCTTGCTAGCACTTGGTATTGCTCAAATTTTTTTCTCTTTCAGCCATTCTAATAGGCCTGTAGTGATACCTCATCATGGTTTTAAACCTTTTAACCATTTTATGGGTATATTTTATTAAATGGTATACGCTGTTTCGATCCCTTAAACAGAGAATGCTGAATATTAATTTTTATGACTCAAAATCATCCTTATAGAATACACATTGTACTACCCTCAGGGACTACTGAAGTACATAGGGTTGTTTTCCTTTTCTTAAAATAGCCCCAGAATTATGTTTGCTTTTTATAGCTTTTTAAATCTTCACTCTTGTTGTCACTTCTTGCTATTAATGGTGCTCCTGCCTCTGGCAGACTCTCCTCTTCACCCTCTTCTCAAGCTGAGTTTAGAAAATAGATAACCAAGCTTGTTAGAATTACATCTAAAAAGAGACCAGTCCGTGAGTGAGAGAGCTTAAAAGGATTTTTCAGTGAGGAAAGTAAAGGCACCCCCCAACGCCCGCCAACCCCCACAACATTGTACCCGAACTTCCTGACATCTTGCTTGGTTGCTGAGAAATTTCTAGTAGCTAAATCTCTCAGGCACTTTTCAAAAAAGTAAGGTTGCCAGCTAAGAGACCACCAAGTAATCGAGTCATTACAATATTCATTTTGTGCAATTTACACTATAATATGATCCTAGCTCAATAATTAAAAGCTTAGCAAAAGCAAAATATAGACAAAATTATCCCGTGTCCAGAAACCTAAGTGAAAAAGACGATCTTAAATGGAGCTTAAATCTAGTTTCCAAACCCTTACACATTGGTCTGAATTCTAAGCACCTACTAGGTGTGCGAGGCATTCAAAGGGGTGCAAAGATAAAGAAACTGTAGAATTAAAAAGAACTCAACAGTTCTTTAAAGATACAGTGACCATATGCATACACACTGATTCTAATCCTAAGTAATATTCACAGTGTTCCCTTGAAACTCGCCTGACTAGTTAAGTAGATAGCTGTGCGGTTACCAAAGGCAAGTAAGTGCAGCCCATCCTGTCTTTTAAGTAGTCTTTTCCATCTCTGAACAAGACCAAACTTTGAACACTTTTACGCTCTATTAGGAAGATGGATCGCTTCAGACAAATGGCAGCACCTTACTTCCCTGAGCGCCCCAGGCTCCGATTCAGAAATTACTAGGCAGGCACTTCCTCTCACCCGAACTTCCCTGAGGAATGGCAACTGTGTGTCTGCCAGGCGCAGGGGCCAATCGGGACTCTGCCGGCCGCCTCCACCCACGACTTAAACACCATCTCACCAATTGCAACCGGATCGTGGGTGGGACTTCCGCTATCATTTTAGGCTTAACTACCACCATCTCGTCGCGGGCACCGGGGGCAACCGCGAAGACAGAATTTCACAAACTTTCAGCTCCAGCAGTTTCAAGGAAATGTCAAAGAATGACAAGATGGAAGGCAGAGTGGCGAGAGCTAAGACACCAAAAAGGCCCCCAAAATTTGTTTTCAAGAAAACCAATGAAAAAAGCAAGCAATCAGAACGTGAAGTCCAGGATCATGTCTGTGCTTATCTCCACAGTCACTGCTGGGTCCTGAAGTTCTCCTCTGGCCCAGTGCCAGCTGCGGAACCCTCTGCCAAAGGGCCAGAGGAGGCCGGTGATGTAGAGCTCTGATTACCCACCCGTCAGGGCGCCGCTGAAGGTCACCGAATACTTACTGTGCACCCGAAAAATAAATCCTGCGAGTTCACGCCCCGCGTAGCTCGCCCCCTGACTTTGAAGGACTCCTTTCGCATGGGATCTACAAAACCGAACTGCCTTAAAGACCTCTTTCACACCGACGTGAAGTCACAGAACTGACAAACCCCATCCTGTCAAAGTGCACGGTTCTTTGAAATCTAACACAAAAAGTCATAGAAAGATTCTCTAAACACCCTGTACTAAGAGGAACACGGACAGGGCACTGCGTTCTGAAGTAGAGGCCAGGGCACTGGCCCTTAGACACGTCTCGCTGTCACCGGGCTAACAGCATTGGCAAGGGCGGCGGCGGCAGCAGTGATATCTGCAGCCCCCGAGGGCCCTGGCGAAACCCCCTCTATTACTCTGTATCCTGCTTGCTTCCAAGATGAACCTGTTGCTGGGAAAGAACAGGCTAAATTAGAAAAGGGAGTCATATTTTGTCAAAGTTGAAGGTGAGTGATAGCCTGCCCGCCTCCACAGGACGGGAAAAGCTAAGGATATTCGGGATGATGACGCTGCCGCCTCCGAATTCTGGTCCGGTGCTCTCTCCCAGCCCTCAGGTGTCCCCACGCGGCCGTGGACCCCGAACAGGGACAGCTGGAGGCGGGCTTGGGCAGCGCGCGGCCTGCACCCGCGGCCATCCATCTTGCGGCCCGGCCCGGCTATCCGGAGCCAGGGCAGGGGGAGCTCGCTGCCCCCAGCGCCGCCACGGCCGGGCGACATTCTGTGCCCTGGGAAGGGGCATAGGGGTGCGGCGCGGCCCCGGTCCCCGGCCCGCCCGGATCCCCGGCCTCACCTTGACGTGGAAGCGGATGAGCGCCAGGCGGATGCAGTGGGCCATGCAGACGGGCGGCAGGAACCAGACCTTGGGCGGCGGGGTGCCCTTGTTCTGGACATGGCTGACGATCTGCTGTGCCGTCTGGCGCTCGTTGCCCTGCCGCTTGACCCACTCGTGCAGCCGGGCCTTCTCGAGCGCGCCGTTGAAGAAGACGAAGAGCTCGATGTTGCCGCCGAAGCAGGCCTTGGCCAGCGCCGCCAGGTAGCCAAGCATGTGGTTCCACTGGCCGCCGCTGACCCAGTCGGTGTAGAAGCCACCGTAGAGGCGGTGCAGGCAGTTGTCGGCGTCCACCAGCAGGCGCAGCGGGGTCTGCGGGGGCCGCTGCCGCCCGCCGCCCACCAGGCTGCCCCGGGCCAGCTTCTGCAGCTCCACCGGCACCACGGCGCTCGGGCAGTGCTTCTCGATGTAGTCCTGGAAGCCCTGCACGCCCATGGCGGCGGCGGGGGCGCGGGCGCGGGCGCGGGTCGGGCGGGGGGCGGCGGGCCGGGCGGCGGTGGGGCCCGTGGCGCGCGGGGGAGGGCGGGCGGGGCGGCGCCTCTAGGGGGGACTGCATTTTTTTTTACGACGGGCGGGTCGGGCGCGCCTCATGGGCCGCCGCGGCCGGCCACATGTGCTGGCCGCCTCCCGAGGCCATGTCTGCGGAGAGGGACGGACCTGCCGCCGCCGCCGACTGACGCGCCACGTGCGGCGAGGCCAGGAGGCCGAGCGGGCTGAGGGGCGCGGGCGGGGGCGAGCGGGCGGCGCCTGACGTAGCGGACCCGCCGGCAGCGGACGCACCGCCCAGGCCCGCGAGGCCCGCGGCGAGCAGGCGGAAGAGGCGGCGCCGGCGGGACGCGGTTCGGGGCTCCCGGAGGCGGCTGCGGCGGAGGCGGAGGCCGGGAGTCGGGCCGGGGCGGGATCCAGGGGGCGCCTGAGCCGGAGCAGGCCGCGCCTGGAGGCCACAGGCCGCTCGCCCGCCTCAGGCCCGTCGGCCGCCGCTCCCCTCCTGGCGGCCTGTTCCCCGCAGGACCAGAGAGGCCGCCGCCCGGCGGTACTCCGGCGAGGGGAAGCCGCGAAGCAGGTCCTGGGGAAGAGCTCGCCTGCTCCTGAGGGAAGCGGCGATAAGATGGAGCTTTGAGGGTGAGCCGGAGGCCGAATCACTTTGCTCGTCGGGACGCAGCCTTTCTAACGCCACGGTGGGCTCGCACCGCTCTGGGCCTGCTGCCCACACTGACTGCGGGGTCCGGGGGAGCGGGATGCTGGCCGGCCGCGCCGGGCTTCTTGGAAAGAGCAGGAAGGAGCGCGAGAATGCAGTTCTGCGGCAGGTGCTCATCCCAGCAGCTTCGGGCTCTCGGTTGTAGTGGTTTTTACACCTATGACAAATGACATGGCCAAACGCACCATAATGTCTGAAGGTACAGGTAGTCCTAAGCGCCTGCTCGTCACGGAAGAGACTGTCTTGAGAGCACAGGTCTGTTGCAGCGTGGAAAGCCTGCGTTCCCACTGCGGAATGGCCAGACTGAAACGTGCGCCTTTGCAGTGGCTCGCCCTGCCCTTCTTAGGGAGAGGGATTTAAATCTTGTTGGTTTAGTAGCATCTTCTGGAAGGAGGTCGTTTACGTAAATTCTGTTCCTAAGCTCTGTCGTAATTGCTTCTAAAATGAGGTTGATACTGTATGTATATTAGGCTTGCATAAAACATTTTCAAAAAGAGATTAATGCCTTTCAGAATATAAATTTAGAAACCCAGCACTCAAAGTTTTAAAGTGCCGCTTTTACTTACTTTCACCTCTCCATCTGTTCTTTTTCTGGAGAAACCTCTGTAGAGGAGCAGGATGCAACCGACAGGCTGTGGCCGGACAGCCGCTACCCAGCACATGGAGCCTGCACGCGCACGATTTGGTCGAAGCAGCCCCCATACTCCCGGTGAAAAAGGCAAGTTTGATTTTTCTGCTTTCTTTTCTGATAGCCACGTCAGATACAAGCCAGTATCATATATACATAAATTAAATGCTGCTGGTATTTTAAGAAGTTACATTTAAAAACAGACTGACAAGTTACGCCACTCACTTATGCATCAAATTAGTCACAAAGCCAGGATGACATGTTATCTAGAAATAACACAGGCCAGGTGCGGTGGCTCACGCCTGTAATCCCAGCACTTTGGGAGGCCGAGGCGGGTGGATCATTTGAGGTCAGTAGTTCGAGACCAGCCTGGTCAACATGGTGAAACCCTGTCTCTACTAAAAATGCAAAAATTAGCTGGGCCTGGTGGTGTGCGTCTGTAATCTCAGCTACTCGGGAGACTGAGGCAAGAGAATTGCTTGAACCCGAGAGGCAGAGGTTGCAGTCAGCACAGATGGCGCCACTGCACTCTCTAGCCTGGGCATCAGAGCTAGATTCCATCTCAAAAATAAATAAATAAAAGAAATAATACAGTTAGCCATTAAATAATAAAGCAAAATCCAGAAATATCCAAATTTCCTTCTATAACCCAAGGCAGGTTCACAAGGTGAGGAGTAGTAGTTTTTAATCACTTGTATTTTCATTCGTAGCATTGCATTCCATGTATTTACCCTTTCTTTAAATACTCTTGCTTTTAATTTTTAAAAATGCATTAGTACGGCCGGGCATGGTAGCTCACGCCTGTAATCCCAGCACATTGGGAGGCCGAGGCGGGCAGATCACAAGGTCAAGAGATCGAGACCATCCTAGCCAACATGGTGAAACCCCACCTCTACTAAAAACACAAAAATTAGCTGAGCGTGGTGGCGCACACCTGTAGTCCCAGCTACTCGGGAGGCTGAGGCAGGAGAATCGCTTGAACCCGGGAAACGGAGGTTGTAGTGATCACGCCACTGCACTCCAGCCTGGCAACAGAGCGAGAGTCCATCTCAAAAAAAAAAAAAAAAAAAAATGCTAGTGCCAGTATCTGAAATTCTGGAAATAAATTTATTTTCACCTTATTACATTGTAGAGTTCTAAGGTTCTGGAGTCAGGCCCCCAGCATCTGTCTTATGATGTCTGTGCCATTGCAAAAATATTTACCCTGTTTGAACCTTGGATTTTATCATCTGTAAAATCAACATATTAATAGTACTTAACCTCTCAGGTTGTTTCAAGGATTAAATCAGATAATCTGTGTGCCTACCACACAACAAATGCTCAATAAATGTTGACTTTTGTAGTTATTTCCAGAAACTGTATTTGTCTAGACTTATACTCGAGAACATAGACCAGTTATTGTACTTTTGGAAAGTTTAAAATTCATTATTGTATCATAACACATAAAACTCAATTCTTAGTTGCCCTATTTAGCTGTGTGTTCTTTTTTAAAAAAAAAAAAACAAAAACACTTTTTTTGTTGAGTAACTATTGATGGCAGGCAAAATATTTAGCTGACAAACACTTATATACTCTGCATTCTCAGCTCAAATTCGGGGGCTGTTTGAAGTTAAATTGCTTAAATGTTGAGGTAAAAATAAACATCTGTGTTTAAAATTTAATAAAAAGTTATGTCTTCTTGGGGGTCACAATGTGACAACTAATAATTGGGGACTTTTTCTTTTTTTATTTTATATTTATTTTATTTATTTTTTGCCCCCCAAAATGGAGTCTTGCTCTGTTGCCCAGGCTGGAGTACAGTGGTGTGATCTCAGCTCACTGCAACCTCCCTCTCTCAGGTTCAAGTGATCTCCTGCCTCAGCCTGTAGAGTAGCTGGGATTACAGGTGCACACCATCACACCTGGCTAAGTTTTGTATTTTTAGTAGAGAGGGGGTTTCACTATGTGGGCCAGGCCAGTCTTGAGCTCCTGACCTCAAGTGATCCACTTGCCTCTGCCTCCCAAAGTGCTGGGATTACAGGCGTGAGCTACCGCGCCCGGCCTAATATCTTTAATTAATATTTTACTTAGGGGAGGTGTCTAACCACCAGCAATAACAGATGAGTTTCCATTTTTTCAAACAAGGTAATAAGAGACCTTGATCCTGCCCATGTAATCGTTAGCATATGTTGGGAGACCAGCAGGCTGGAGCTAAGCAGGGAGTCTGTGAAGAGAGCAAATTAATCCACACTTGGGATTCTAACCTATAACGTTTACCTAGCACCAGCCCTGTTAATTAATTATCAATTTTAATTACCCAGAAGAACACACACATCTGTAGGCCTGCTTCATAAATGGTAGATCAGTAACTGACCACACTGCAGCAGTGTGTCAGCAGTTGAGAAGTGTTTTGATCTTCAGGCTCTGCTCTCTCTCTAGTAGTATGAGTTAGCAGTAGCAGAGTATAGGAGAGCTCCACGGAGATCCATATTCAGACTCTGGAGACCATGACAAAATACATTTCATATTCCAAACTAATATGTAAACTGCCTGTTTTTTTTCTTTTCAGATTTCCAGAAGCTGTTCTGTCAATAACAAAGTCTCGAGGAAAACCACAAAACCACCAACACTAAGATCATTCTTGAGTCCACTTTGAAAAACTAGGGTCAAATTCTGCAGAGGCATTCAAGGGACAGGATACCACCCTAATGCCCACTGTGTGAAGGAAAATGCTCTATTCACTATTCCTCAGCTTCTGCTTCTGGTTTCAGAGTTCTCTCTATATTGGAGGGTGTTTTAAAGCTAGAGTGGTCTTTATCCACTTCTATTAACACATCTGAATGTGAAGGTCAAGAGGAGAAAGTGACATGTCCTAAGTCAGAGTAGTGTGAATAAGAAAATAAGGCAAACAGCGACTGAGTCCCTGGTGTATACTGGGCATTGGCAAGCTACTGGGGATATGGAGATGAAGAAAATGTAATCCCTTCTTCAAGGAGCCCAATCTACCAAGGTAGACAGACATATAGACAAATAGATTATATACTTGCATAGAAAAAAGAAAGAGGAGAAGGGGATCAGTGTGATCTGTGTAACTAAGTACCCTGTACAACCCTCTTGGCCACAGATCATATTGCCCTTTATAGCGGGGATGGTAATCCCATCTCCGAATTCCACATGTACTTTGCAGGCAGACCACACCCATGTGTGGGTCCTGACTCTACCATTTATAAACAGCATCACTTTCAGCAATTGTCAGCCCTCCAAGCTAGGGTCATTGTCAATAGGGATACTGCCTCCCAAGCATCAGAACACCAAAGGAGACCGTGTGGGTAAAAGCAACCAACACTGCCCTGGCGGTTCATAGGTGCTTAGAGTTTCCAGCTTTCACTTTCAGTCTAATGCAGCACTGCCTGCTTTTTGTTTTTGTTGCTTAGTTTGTTTTTTTCTTACCGTGTTCACCACACTTGTGTCCAGATAGCTTTGGGCTGATGCAAAAGTATCTGTGGTGGAAGAGAGAAGGAAGAGTTGTTCTCATGGAGGGCCTTCAGATGAGTGCTATAGACTCTAGGCAACTTTCAAAGAGGCTTCTCAAGCAGGGTGGGCAGTGGGAGCTGCTATGGAATCAATGGACAAACATTGACAGGGACTGCTTTGAAAGACAGTACTCAGTTGAGTATACTCTGTTAAGGGCTAAAACTTTAGAGTCAGCCCTTAAACACTGCCTGATGGAATCTTCAGGATCATATTTTGAAGTAAACTATATTTTACAATGTGATATAAATCAAATGAGTTTTTTTTTTTAATTAGGAATTTCCATAAGTACAAAGCCATTTTAAGGTGTACATTTTAGAGACTAGCTATTATTAAGCGGTCTGTGCATTTGTGTAAACCATAAAGATGTTTCCAGAGGAAGCAAGTCTCATACCAGAATATGAAAACGCCCCAGCCCCAGGCTTGAGTAGCCTAGATCACATGAAGCTGACTTCCTCTGAGGAGTCTAGGACCTCAGATATAGGTGGGAGCACACAGTCACCCTTCTGGAAACAGCTAAGACTTGCAGCTCAGGCCTGTGACCTTGCTGATGACAAAGGAAGAGGTCAGGGTTGACTAGAGCTCCAGAAAGAATGCAAGTGCGTCTGGAAGGCAGGAAGAAAGTTACTGCAATACTTTATCCTCAGGGTGGAACGAGAGTCTGGGAAAGCTGTGCCCACTTCCCCATTCCTCCCAGGTCCCTGGTGTATAAGGAGAGTTGGCCCAATCTGGGAGCTAAGGGACCTGAGACATCTACTGCATCAGTGCACTCAGAAATGAGGATTTTGGCACAGTTATTCATGAGACATCAGCCCATGATATAAAACATGCCTCCAGTTTGGTTAAACTAGGAAGCACTATATAACATTTTAAAATCAGTTACATGTCACTGATAAAAGACTTAATATTACCCTGACGTTATTTTTCTTGAGGCAACATAAAACCCATTGTCTACAAAAAATCCAAAAATTAGCCAAATCTGGTGTGCACCTGTAGTCCCATCTGCTCAGGAGGCTGAGGTGGGAAGACTACTTGAGCCAAGGAGGTAGAGGTTAGAGTGAGCCCAGATCATGCCACTTGCACTCCAGCCTGGGCAACAGAGTGAGGCCCTGTCTCAAAAAAAAAAAAAAGAATTTATGAAAGTTTGGAGAACAAGAATAAGACTGGGTGGGAACTAAGAATGACAGGTACTTTTAACAATACAGCTGAGGTGTTGTTGATGACATGAATGAACCCCAGTCTTACTGTAGTCATTTGCTCAAGATTCGAAGTCATGAAAAAGTAGAATGGACCAAACTTAGGTACTAAGAGTCCCCAGCCCAGCAGTGAAAGCAGTATATAGTTCCTTTGACTTTAATATGGGGAGACAGGTTCCTGGATTGACAAATCTCATCAAAAGTAGACACAATGGTTTTTTTTATTTTTTCTGGGACCTCTCAGGGATGAATATATACAATTTCTGAGAAAGAAACCTGAGTACCTTTAGGAAGGGAAAAGGAATGCTGAATATCCCTAAACAACAAGTTTATTGCATATTTGGTAAGACTTACTATACCCTATCCTGGAAGATAGAAGATACCCTGCCCTCAGAAGACAAAGAGACTGTAAAGCTATGCCTTCTGAATCTTAAGCCACTCTTTAGGTAATGAATCCCTTCATAGTCCAAACATCTCAAGAACTCTCAATTTGTACCATTTGCCTTTTATTTTCCATTTATTTAATACCACAAATTCACTTTATTATTATGAAGCCAATATCTACATCTTCTCACAAAGATTCCCATGAGAAACGCAGAACTCCTTACCAGCCTCAAAACGTACTGTGACATTTCCATAACCTACAGGTCTAGAAATCCTATGCCAAATATGGTTAATTTGTTTGCTGAGAAGGATGTAGAACTGGAACCCTCATACACTGGTGGGAAAACAGTCTGGAACTTTCTTAAAACATTCTGGTAAATGGGGCCCCTGCAAGCTAGAAAGTGTGGCTATAATCCCTGGCTTTTTTCCTTTTTTAAACTTTTTCTCTCTCAGTCCTGACCTAAAGATGACCCTAGTCAGGCCGGGCACGGTGGCTTATGCCTGTAATCCCAACACTTTGGGAGGCCAAGGCGGGCGGATCACCTGAGGTCGGGAGTTCGAGACCAGCCTGACCAACATGGAGAAACCCTGTCTCTACTAAAAACACAAAATTAGCTGGGCGTGGTGGCGCATGCCTATAATTCCAGCTACTCGGGAGGCTGAGGCAGGAGAATCTCTTGAACGCGGAAGGTGGAGGTTGCAGTGAGCCAAGATTGCACCATTGCAATGACTCCAGCCTGGGCAATAGCAACGAAACTGTCTCAAAAAAAAAAAAAAAAAAAAAAAAAATACCCCTGAGAGAAAACCTGTCTTTCCAGCCAGAGGAAGCAGGAAAAAATGACCCTATGGTCTGAAGAATGTAGAACTAATCCATCTTTTTTTTTCCCCCTTCTCTGCTTTCTGCCTGAGGGGCATTCCTTTTGGCAAAATGGAAAGTGGGCAGGTAATCATCAGAGAGAAAGCCCATCCTTCTAAGCCAGAGGATGAGGAAAAGGGGCCCCCTGGGTGCCAGGGAGTCTGGGGAGAAATCCTGAAGCGCAAAGACCTGAAAAGAGGATTCTCTTATTCTGTACATGAGCAGAATTCTGTGCTCAGCCCAGAACTGCACATACCAGAGGCAGAGCCCAAGCAACACAGCCACACTCTGAACTGACGCTCGGATCACCACTACCAAACAGAAGGCAACGCAGGACCTGCGGACTCAGGCTAACGAGGCTGACTGCCCCACAAAACAGAAAGAAAAGAAACATTTTTCAGGGAATTGTAGCAGAGCACAGAGGCTCCCAACATAAAACAGAGTCCTCACTTTGAACAGCAGTCAGAACTGTAAAAATGACCTTCCAACCTGAAACTGTGCCATGTGCTGTGAATAATCATTAATGGGTAAAATTGTGATTTTTTTTCCTGTCTTTTGAAAATTGTCAAAACATTGGTAATCTTGTACTGTTAGAAATGTATAAGGAAACAATAAAGTAAATATTTTTGTACACTGTAATTTAAAACATTAGCAACACTGGGAATTCAAGTGTTTGATGTCTTCCTAAAAACCATCAAGGAACAGTGCTTGCCTTCTTCAAAAGTCATGTACCTTATGATATGCAGCGAGCACCTTTTCTGTGTTTCAAAAACCTGTCATGCCCCTTCTAAGTTTGGATCAGCCTCTAATATTTTATCCTTTCTGCTTTCAATGTCATGAAATATCTCCAAGTCCGTTCAACATGAAGGTTTTTGCTGACGTTCCTTCCTCTGGGACATCATCCTTTCCATCACAATCGCATTCTTCATTTATTGGATGAATTCACCTTCTCGGCAGCAGTGCCAGCATCCCATAGTCTGTTTCTTCAGTGACCCCGTTTATGTTTGATTTCCATTCACTTTCAGTGTTTTCGGTTTTGAGTTTCTTTGCTGCGCTTCTATCTTTTATTTGTCCATTTTCTCTTTTGAATATCCATTTGTGTAAAATGCCATGTGGGTTTATCACTGGGAGACAAGGAGGCCACACAATTCATACTTCGCTGTCTGTGCATGAACTGAACACAGACGCACAGTGACCAATCACCCACAGGTTTTGGAAATAAGAGACATGATTGGTCACTGATCATGATGTACCTTTGTTATTATGTAGTGATTTGTGGACTGGGGAGCTAGCAGAAAGTTTGAACTTCATGCAGTTACAGTTAATATATTCTGGTAACTCAAATTTGAACCATGTTGTCACATGTTGTCAGGCAACTGGTGTTCACCATAGTAACTAAAATTTCAGAATCATGAAATGTCACTTCTGATCTATTCATTAAAGGCAGTCACTCATTCTGGCTCACACTCAAGGGTAAGGGAATTAGGCCCCAGCTTCTGAAGAGAGGATCTCCAATGACTTTGTGGACATATTTTCTGATTCTTCAGGAAGTCCATATTCCTGAAGAATATTGGCACTGGGTATAGAATTCTGGGTGGATGATTCTTTCCTATGAGTGCTTTAAAGATATTGTTCCACTGCATCTTGGCCTACACGATGTTTTGTTATATGTCTGAGATAATCTGCAATTTGAATTGTTGTTCCCTATACCTAATGTATTGGGTTTCTTTCTGGCTACTTTCAGGATTCTTTAAATCCTTGATTTTCAGCAGTTCGATTATGTTATGCTGAGCATCTTGTTTAGATTTTGCTGAGTTTCTTGAATGTGTATTTCTATTGTTTGTCAAATTTAAGAAGTTTTCAGCAATTATTTCTAAAAACTTTTTTTGTGTCTGCACCAATTTCTCTTTTCCCTCTGAGACTCCAGTGTCAAATATATGTGATTTTCTGGCGTTGTCTCCCAGGTTCCTGAAGTTCTGTTCATTCTATTTAATCCATTTTCTCAGTATCCTCTGTTTAATTTCTACTGATCTGTCTTCAATTGACTGACTCTTTCTTTAGTCATTTCCATTCTGCTACTAAGTCCATTCTGCTACTAAGTCCATCCGTTACATTTTTTAACTTCAGAAATATAATTTTTTCAGTTCTAGAATTCTCATTTGTAATTTTCGTAGCTTCTGTGTCTCCATCAAAAACTTCTCTCTCTCTCTCTCTCTCTCTCTCTCTCTCTCGTGGAGTCTCACTCTGTCACCCAGGCTGCAATCTTTATGCACTGCAACCTCTGCCTCCTGGTTCAAGCAACTCTCCTGCCTAACCGCCCAAGTAGCTGGGATTACAGATGTGCACCACCATGCCCAGCTACTTTTTGTATATTTTTAGTAGAGACAGGGTTTCACCATGTTGGCCAGGCTGGTCTCGAACACTCAACCTCAGGTGGTCCACCCGCCTTGGTCTCCCAAAGTGATGGGATTACAGACATGAGCCACTGAGCCTGGCCCTTTGTTTTCATCTTAAGAGAATAGTTATAAAAGTTGTTTTAAGTTGTTGTCTGATGATCCAACATCCGAGTCATTTTTGGAATGACATGTGTTGGTTGTCTTTTTCCTTGTGAATAGGTCATACTTACCTAGTTCCTTGAGCATCTAGTAATGTTGGATCGTATTCTGGATGTTTTGAATACCAAGTCCCGAGAGTCTGCAACTTGTTAAAATCCCCTGGAGAAGATTGATTGTAAGCAGACAACCAACTCAGTTAAGTTCAGATGACAAACTGTCTCCCCTTCTGTGGTGGTGCTCCCAGTGGCACCTCTTCAATTTTCA